GGCTAGGAGCTTCCCGTCCTGAGAAAAGTCTGGGCATTAGCATTTTAGCAAGCTTCAAGATCCAGTCCATCCAGGGACCAGTGAGGGTGCACTTCTCGCTAGCTTTTTGCAATGGTCCTGTCCATCCAGGTGGGATTCTGCGTAGGGGATACCCATGTATTCAGCTGTTTGAGTTACTACGCCTGCATAACAGATCTTAGGGATTTAAGACAACTTAGGGATTTAAGACAACCGTGTATTAGATTCGTGGCTCCTTGGGTCAGGAATTTGGGTAGGGCACTGTGGGGAGACTCTCCTGGTCCCACAATGTCTGGGTATTCGCTAGATCATGTGAAGGTGGAGCCTGAAATTGTTAAAAGACTCAATCCCTCCTGTACCTGACTGTTGGCAGGGGCTTGAGCTGAGATTCTCAACCAGACTCCTACACCTGGCCTGTCCAGGTGGCTTGGGCTTCCTCACGACATGGAGACTGGGTTCCAGGGCAAGTGAGCTGAGAAGACGTGTACCTATTATGACCTAGCTTTGGAAGTCAGGCATGCCACTTCCACAGTGTTCTTTTCATCAGAGGGTCCTTAAAGGCCCATCCAGTTTCAAGGAGGAGAAGTAATAAACTGTTGACGGCAGGGAGGCAAGGTTCCGGAAGGCACTGTTGCTATGGCTACACATACACTTTGTGATGCTCAGGCACCATATGGAAACAGACAAGGAAATTCTAACCTGAAGTGGAGGGTTAACAGACAGGACCTCAGCAACTTTGTCCCTCTGATACTCATGACTCTGGTCCTGTCCTGCCCTCCGTGGACGGATGGGGTTGCTTCGGACAGAGCAGAATTCTTCGTCAGATTGATAAAACATGTCAATCTGCCTTCTGATCAGCTGGCACTTCCCACTGTTAGGTCTTAAACTAATTCTATTCCCAGGATTCCATGAGAGCGCATCATGATACAAAGCGATAAACCACTCAGAGGATGCTGACACAAGCCACAGTCAGCATCTTCTCAGATCAACAAGTCATGGTTTGTGCAGGAGCCCGGGGGAGCATCCGTAACTGGGAGGAGCAGCCCCTTGAGGGAATGCCAGTTAGATCTGTTACTGATCAGAGAAAATTGAGCTCGCTGAGTTCATTTCCTTCTACCTCTTTGTGCTTTTTAATCTTTAAGAATTTTTAAAAAAATATTCAGGTATATTTCTTCTGTACTTTACCATTATGATTCGAATTAGTGTTCTTAGTAACTTTTTCCTTTATTATATTTCAGAGAAGTGGAAAATACAACAGAGTATAGAGACAAAAATAAAAATGTGCTGCAATACGGCCCTTCCAAATAATGATTGTCAGTTTAGTGCTTTGCCTATTTGAGTATTTCGTCCTCATTAAATATTCTTGTATTAAAATTACATTAAAGGCTAAATACAAATTGAATACATCAGAACTTAGTTTACTCATCCCCTTTATTGTTGGGCGTTTATGTTATTTCCACTTTCTCATAGTTTTAATGCAATTATTTTGCACTAAAATATATTTCAAACATATATGGTGAAGATTTTTCTATACATATTAAAAATGCTTAATAAAAATCACTTAAATGAAAATACATAAATTTTCTTTTTGATAGATTTCCAGAGGGGGAATATTGGATCATAGGACATAAAAACAATTGAAAGTTTCTGGTCTAAAGTTGCTTTCCCAAATTCACGAAGTTACTATCAATCTGTACATAATTTAAAAAGGAAAACAGGCAGGGATTATGTGTTTGGGGGAACACGTAACGCCATATTTTAAATGGATTTCACTCAGCTTTGACTTATATTTGTTTTAGCCTCAAGAGGAGGATTGAATCATTTGATTCCATCAAAGAATGTTTTAAATTCCTTGGTTCCATTTTCTGATTCTACGCTTTTTTGTCTCTTGCAAGTGTGTTCTCGGTCGTGTGTCTTTTCCCACTCACACACTGTATTTTTCTCCTTCGTGTATGACTGGTTTTTGCCGCTGTCAGTCATTCTTCTCCAGATGTTCTTTTTCTTGGTGTCTCATTTAGTTCACGCACTATGATGGTGTTACTTATTGCTCATTGTCTCAGCTTCCATGTAATTTGTCTGCTCTGTAATTCTGCATCTTTGAATAATGATGTTACCACTTTTAGGATTAGTGTATATGTGATTTTTATATATGTGCTTTTTTTTTTCTCATTGTCACTGCTGTGGTCAATGATGAGCAAACCTTCAATGCGTGGTTCACATGCCTTCTTGTAGAATTGTGTCCATTTGTCCCCAAAATTGTATGTTGCTGTCTCTAGATTTCTCTGGTACATTCATTTATTTGCAGTCTATTAGATTTCTCCAATATTTACAGTAGTTATTTATAGTTCCCATCAGCACTGTTTTCTTCTAATGTACTTGATCATTTGGGATATAAGCTTTAGAGCCTTCTGGAATTAATATGGTGAATGTTAACTTACATAACTGGATTAAATGGCTATTCTTGGACTCCGGTTATAATATTATGTAACTCCTGATCTCCAAGGACTTTTAAAATGTCACCACACCTGGGCATTTTGTTGTTTTTCTTGGATGTTAATTGCAGCTTTTGTAGCAACTCTGCAGTTTAGTCTGAATATTTGTCTTAATGGTTTCCCTGAGGCAAAATTATTTTTAGTAGCCCTAAGACTTTTTGCTATTTGTTGGTGAAATATTACTTTTCCATTTGGTTAAATTTTAATTCTGAGCTCACTTTTGCTGCTTATGGATTTTATTTATTCATTTGTCTATTATAATTTTACTGTGATATAACTGACATATAACATTGTGTAAGTTAAAGGTGTGCAGCGTGTTGGTTTGATACATCCCTATATTGCAACTGATTACCACTGGAGCTTTAGCTAACACCTCTGTTGACACATACAATTTCTTTTTTGTAGTGAGAACATTTAAACTCTAGTCTCTTTGCATGTTTGAATTATACAATACAGTGTAGTATTGTTGGCTGCAATCACCGTGCTATGCATTAGATCCAAATTTTACTCATCTTTTAACTGCGATTTTAATATCGTTTCTCCAATTCCTGCACCCTCAGCCCCTGGCAACCACCACTCTACTTTCTGTTGCTACCAGTTCGGCTTTTTAAGGTTCCACATAGAACTAGTATCATACAGTATTTGTCTTTCTCTGGCTTAACTCACAAAGCATAATGCTGCCTTTTCCCGTGTTTCCTTTATTCTTAGAGTCTCTATTTTCTTTCCTTATTTTCTGGACCTTGTGTATTCTTTTCTTTTTAAAAATCCACGCCAAGGATCACACTGAGGGCCCGGGATGAATGAATCACCCAGGGCCCCTGCCCACAAGGAGCTTACAGTCTCTTGTGAGAAACTGACATACATCAGAATCTATGCTACAGGTGGAAACACTGTTTGGGGGCCTTGAAGGAAAGGAAGAGGGGTCACAGGCAGGAAGAACAGTGCGATGGAAGGCAAAGAGGGTCGGACCAGTTGGCACAGTTGGGTTGCTGAGAAGGGAGTAGACGGGACCAAATGAAGGATGGGCCTAGTGCCATGTTGTGGAAGGGCAGAGTTTCGTCTCTGCTCTGTGGTGGTTTTGTTACCGAGTCCAAACTCTTTCTGCTCCAAACTCTTTCTGCTCACCACACAACTGACCAATAAATCAGGAGATGAGGTGTTGGAGCAAGGAATAACGACTTTATTCAGAAAGCCAGCAGACTGAGAAGTTGAGGGACTAATGTCCTGGAGAACCATCTTCCCCAAGTCAGAATTCAGGCTCGTTTTATACTAAAAAGGGGAGGGGGTGTGGTTGGTTGTTGCAAACTTCTTGGTGTCTGAATCCTTTGTTCTTGCAGCTGTCCGGGTGGGTCAGGTCATGGTGCCCCCATAAACCTCCAACAAGACAAATGTTATTTTCTATTCTGCAACTTTTTATCTTTATGTGAATGGGAAAGTGTTCTACCCTTAAAGGTCAGAGCCTTGAGAATGGGCTGTCCTGTCTATTTCAGGCTCTAGGCAACATTCTTTTACGAAAGGTGCCGAGCCAGCAAGACTCAGCAAGGGAAACAGAGCACAGGGTTAGAGCTAAAGAAACAGATCTAATATGGAGTCAGATTTGTTCTTTTCTATTCTAGTTTCGTGCAGGTTCAAAGGGTCTTGGGTCTGACTGGGTCTGAGGGCTCTTGGCTGGTTCATGTGTGGGGTGGAAGTATGAAGGGGCAACACTTGAGAAGGAAGGAGCTCTGAGACGCGGCTGTTCATTCATTCATAGAACCAACGAATGCCATGTGCCCACCATGTGTCTGACACTGCGCCAGGAGCTCTGGCCCCAGCCCGAGCAAGACATCATCGTCCAGACTCATACAGGGCTTGGCATCCATTGTCCTTGCTCTTCTGGGGATACGCTCCGGCAAGGGAGAGAGAAAATTAATACCATTGCTGGCGGTGGCAGGGGCTGTGCATATAATACATGGCCATGGCACTGAAAGTCTCCTCAATATTCTTGCTTTCAGGGGCTGTGAGCAGCATGGGAACACATGTTCAGTGCCCTATTAGACCCCTGACCCCCACAAAGGAACATCTTTTTTCTTACAGGTCAGCCCAGTTGCTCCTGTGACTTGCCCAGTCCCTCTTTGGTTAGAATTCCTGTTATATTGTGAGTTTCCTCGGGGATACAGCTTAAACACTCAGGCTTCCCCTTTATGAACCCATTTTAGGAGTCGATATACTGGAAATTTCTCTTTGAAATGACCAGATATGGGAGGTAAACTGTGCAGCTACATAGACACAGCTTCTCATTCGGTCATAACCTGAAACCCGTTCTTGTCCTGTCAAGGATGACCTCCAGAAAAGACGAAGGTTCTGGCACAGTTTGAATGGGGTGCAGAAGCTGGTGGAACTCCGCAGGGAAATCTTCCCCTTGTGGACCCCTGGGTCAGTTACAGATGTGCTCATGGCCCTGAAAAAATCTGTCACTTACACGCGATCTTTTTCTTTTTCTCTGGCCAGGACTCCTACATCCTTTCTGCAGAACTTGGAGAAAAATGCGAAGCCATAGGCAAGAAGTTATTGTACCTAGACGATCAGCTTCACACAGCGATCCACAGTCACGATGAAGACCTCATTCATATCCTTTTTAATCTGGCAGATTAAGCACCTGTTATAGGTTATTTTGTAAAAGGAAGTCTTAAAAAAAAAATCCCTTCCCCATGCCTCTGCAGATGGAAGCAAACAGACACTGCTACTATTTATAGATCAGCCTACCTCTGATTTCTGAGATTATCCAGTTCACAATGTCTTCTCTCCAGTTTTTGATAGTCAACATATGTGATGATTAAATCTGACAACTAAAAGTATCAGTGAGTTCCAGACATGCACACAGTGAAGCCAAAGAAAATGAAGTTTTTATAGGATGTGAACTGGATGTGCAGGGTTCAAAGGGTCATGGGTCTGACTGGCTCAGTTTCCTTGGGGCTTTCGTAATACCGAGAAACCCAGGTCCAGCTTCGGTTTTCTTTGCCTTACAATTCCGCCACGTAATGGGCAGAAAAATAGCACAACAGGACTTTGGATCGCTCCTTTCCAGCTTTTTCTTGTACAAGACTGGATGCACTTGGTGTCACATCTGCAAGTACCTTCATTGAAACTGGCTGCCAGTGGGCAAGCTGTCACGGGACTCGACTGGCTTAGGTGTGGGTTCATGTGGAGCCCTGGACCTCCTGCGCGTCTGTGGGTACAGTCATTTTGCTTCTGGGTAGCTCTTTTGAGGACAGATGAGTGGGCACAGGGTGGATAAAGGGGTACACAGCCCCATCCTATATCTTTTAGTTATTTAATCACAAGGTTTTAAAATTAAATAAAATTATTATATTTTTTAATTGAAGTACAGTTGATTTACTATGTTGTATTAGTTTCCAGAATACAGCATAGTGATTCAGTTATACATATATACATAGTCTTTTTCATATTCTTTCTCTTTATAGGTTGCATACAAGCCACTGAATGTGTCTAAAAAAATGACATAAATGGGGGGATGGGAAGTGGGGAGGGATAGGTTAGGAGTTTGGGATTAATAGACACACATTACTGTATGTAAAATAGATAAACAGCAAGGGCCTGCTGCATAGCACAGGGAACTAGACTCAATTTCTTGTAATGAGCCATAATGGAAAAGCAACTGGAAAAATATATATGTTTGTATGTGTACCTATAACTGAGTCGCTTTGTGTACACCTGAAACTAACATTGTAAATCAACTACACTTCAGTAAAAAGTAAGAATGAAAAATGACACAAATGAACTTCGTTCCAAAACAGAAAGAGACTCACAGATAGAAAAAAATCTTCTGGTTACCAGAAGGGGGGGGTGTAGGGAGAACCTGGGAGTGTGGGATTGGCAGATACTAACTGCTGTATACAGAGTAGATAAACAGCAAGGTCCTGCTGTAGAGCACAGGGAATGTTTTCAATGGCTCGGCGTTACCTGTAATCACAAGCTGACACTCCTCTAGATGAAAGCACTTCTCTGTTCACATCCTACCCAGTAGTATGACTTTTATTAGAGGTATCTGTGAGAAATGCAGCTGTTTTGGATTTGGCTTCTTGTTGCTGTCTTACTTTCCAAAAGTCCAGTTCTTACCATACTTTATCTGTGTGTGTGTGTGTGTGTGTGTGTAGGTCTGTGTATTTTTAAATAGCTCTGAATGGTCAAGGATGAATCTTAACCATAAGTATTCAGATCTGCAGTTTAATGATAGATTCAATGCTATGTTTCCTTCCTCTTTATAACCTTAAATCTTTCACCTTGCTTATTAAACTTAGCAGGAAATTTCTTCAACTTAATCCGTGATTATTGCCACATTACTCAAGGTAGATTTTTAAAAGCAGATCTTCTGTTTTCCATAACTTATGCCTCTTATGAACTGATGTTTAAGCTCTTATTAGAAGGTTGGCCAAAGAAACAGTAGAGGCAATTTTGTTTTGTGCTTTTGTGTACTCCACGTTCGTGGAGCGCAGATCTGAGCAGTTATCAGGGGGCGTGGCCTCCAGCAGACGGGCGAGTGACTATCCATGGCTGGCACCTGGGAGCAGCGCCAGGCAGAGAGCCAGTGCGTTTGGAGGGCTTTCTGGCCCCAGCCCGGCAGGTGGGCTTGTTTTCGGTGGGAAACACCCCGGGCTTGTGGTGGGCTCCGGTAGCGGGTCAGAGGTTGTGTTAGTCCCTTGTTTAGCAATTTTCCAGAAGGTTGGTTACATTCTAGAGAATTGGGTTTTTTCTTGAGTAGATTTGGGTTGTGGGGAGGAGGCTGAGAGGGGACAGAGCTGTGCATAAGTAAGACCTTTTTAGTTTTCTCACGGCCAATCCAAGCCAGATTCAGTAGCTGTGGGATCACAGACAACTGATAAAGCCACTCTAAGCATCAACTTCCTCATCCGTACAACTCAGATAATAACACGTACCTCTAAGGTTTTCATGAGGACTAAACGAGGCTATGTTCAGAAAGTATGTTTAACGCAGTTCTTATATACGGTCAAGTGCTTGGTTTTAGGTAGAAAATCATTCTTAGAGTCTTTGTCACAAGCTGAATCTACATCTCATTTTTATATGAGGTTTCAAGATAGGCTGATTCAACTGTTTTGCGTAAATGCTTGAAAGAACTGATTGGTAACTGCACAGTGACTTACATGAAAAGTCAATTGATTCTAATAAAACTGCTTTTCATAGATAGGGATTATTGTTCCTACTTGACAGTTGACAAAACTGAGGCTTAGAAATGACACAGCTGGTCCAAAGTCATTTCTGGTGGGTGGTGGAATCTTCCAGCCACCCCATCCCCTGGCGCTTCTTGGCCACACAGGAAGCAGCTATGTCTCTAAGTAGATGGACGAGCCTGTTCTGTGGAACATGCGGAACATACATAAAATTTTACTATGAAAATTTTAAGCTGCAATAAAAGTTGTTGAGTGAAGGTGTTACCCCAAAAAGAGGAACAGGAAAGACCCCAGTTCCTGTCTTATCCGAAAGATAAGAATTCAGATGCGAGACAGAAGTGCTGTGTAGCAAAAGATTTGAAAGGTTTTATTAGCAAAGGGAAAGGACACCCCAGGAGCGGGAGGCGGGCTGATCCCAGGGCACACAGCAGCAGACTTGGTTTGCTCCCTCCTCTCACACCCTCGCTTAGAGGTCGGCTCTTGATTGACGGACAGCTCTCGCCCCTGGAGTTCTTAGTCATGCTCGTCCCCCTTTCCCCATGTCCTTGCCCATGATGCACACAGGAAAGCCCATGGTGGGGGGCGGCGCTAAACCACAGTGTTAATTACATCACAGTGAGCGCTGGGTCATGTCTGGTTAGGTCCTTGTCGCTACTGCGCAGTTGCAGCTGCCGGGTTCTAACTGGTTTCTTGCTGGCGCTCATTTAGAGGAGGTAAAACCCCTTTATGCTGGAGGCAGGCACACCACCGTCTTCCAGACCATCCCCCTTCTTCCCCACTTTATCTGTCTAGTGCCCCCACTTATCTAACTGCCTAACAAAGTTACATTTTTGTGAGACTTTTGCCCATCCTTGCTGGGGAAAGTGGAGACACAGTAGGACCGTGTCAAACCAAGGCTGGGAAACACAAGCTTAGGTACTGAAGTCACCCACTCCCCTCAAATAAAATCTACACCACAACATAGATTTCAACCCTGACTTTCCTCTGAAACCCTGGCTTTGTTGGGTGTCAGGGATTGCAGGTAAATATGCAGAAGGCATCTTTGAATTCATAAGAAGCGGTGCTTGGATTTGAGTGGAACGTGATGTCCTAAGATAGAAAGACATCTTTACTCTGCGGAGGCTTCTTACACAAACCAAAGCGCTCGTTTCAAATTGGAACTGATCTGGAGATTCAAAGGGGCTGCTGGAATCCTCCAGCCAAACTCCGACTGTTTTGTGTTCCCATTTTTGATCAAAGAGACAAAGCTGAGTCTGAATGAAAGAAACAGCTCGCTGTCAACAACGCAGAAGCATTTCCCAGCGAGGGTAATATTTTTGTTTGATTCCATTAAGTGCTCGGCCGGAGCCGCCCATGCATTAGATGCGGGGTGCATCTGATTAACCTGAGTCCATGTCGGACGTCCAGGTTCAGAAGGTTCAAGTCTTGGGTGCTACGGACGCTGTTCCCTGTGTGGAAGGCACGGAACTTTGCATAAGGCATGTGCATGAGAAAGCACTGTTAGTGTAGTATCAGCAGAGGGTGGGCCAGTCGCCATCAGTGGAGTTGTTTCCAAACAGACCCTCCGGGTACCCTGACTTAACATCAGAGCCACGGGCAGCCTGCTAGGGTCTCCTGCTTTTATGGAGAAGACACTGGATTGACAGATCGGAGGAGGGGGAGGAGACAGGGCAGGTCTCTTCATCGTCTTGACAGGCTCAGTGAATTACACGTAGCGCGACCAAACAGCGACACCAGCCCGTCAGCCGCTGTGGCGTCCAGCATCTGAGAGTCTGCACCATTAATTGGAAAAGCCAGCCTCCCAGAGGTGACTCGCCTGGTGTCTGAGGCGAGGAGGGGAGGTGTGACTGCACTGCCACTCAAGCCGGGGTTTCCAGGAGCGCTAGCCCGAGTCTCTAGTACAATTTCACAGCCATTTGGGGTCCTAATTAGCAGGTAGGATTTGAAAAACATGTTGAGGGTGTGGAATGGCTCCTCCACGTTTGAAACACTTGAAGCGCAAACCATCTCAGTTCGGCGGATTTTTATTTTTTTCACAGAGATTTTGCTTACTTTTTCTCCTTCAGCTTCTACAATGCACTTTCAAAAGAACAGAAGTGCGCCCGGGACTGGGACACCGCTCGAATATTTCAGACCCCACAGGGTAGTTCTGCCTGCCTCTGAGTCACAGAAGAGATGGGGACAGACTGATTCTATCTGTGGCTCTGTTTACATCCCCGTCTGGGAAAGCCTCCTGGAATTCTCTTCTCTTTCCTTGTTTGGAATGCGTGGTGCCCAGTCAATTCGTTTTGGTGGTACCTGATGGCTGTTAATAGCCTGAATGCATCCAGGCGCAGCACACACACCACATCATCCCCTAAAAGGACATTTTCAGATGTGCAGCTTAAGCAGACAAAGGTAATGAGAGTTTGGGGAACTTGCTCTGTCTCCTTGGAAATGCTTTCTGCTTCTAGAGCTAAAAAGCTGAAAGAGAGACCGTCAGGACCACGGGGCTCAATGCGTGTTATAGATGAGAAGATGGGGACCTTAAGAGTTTGCTGTTAAAGTGTTGTGTATGCTGGGCTGATGCGCTTCTGGTGTCCAGGGCCACCCTCAGGCCCCCACCCACGGGAGTGGGGCGGGAAGAGGAGGAGTTGGCACACTGTAATGCGGGGGGATGAGGGAGCCTAGGAGAGCGTGTGCTCACCGCCATCACATCCGCTGAAGCAGGGCGTGTGTGGGCGAGAATTTGCTCTTTGCTCTTCAGCAATTGTGTTCCTCACCTTTGGCTGTTCCACAAAGGAGAATTCCCAGCACTGTGGCGGTGGTGGCTGCAGAGGAATCCCTGTTGATAAGAAGAAAGAATCTAGCAAATGAAAAGCTGTTTCCAAGGATGTATTGTTGTTTCTTTCTGAAGCAAACTAGGTCAGACAAATGAAGACCTATTTTTGACTAAAACAATCCGCCTGGAATCTCCATTGGCAGGAAAACACTCAGTTGCTTTTGGCTTGTTTCTTTTTTTAATTGAAGTAGAGTCAGTTTGCAATGTTGTGTTAATTTCTGGTGCACAGCACAGTGATTCAGTCATGCATACATACATTCCTTTTCGTTATAGGTTATTACAAGGAATTGAATACAGTTCCCTGTGCTCTGCAGTGGGACCTTGTTTATCTATTTTATAACACTCCACTGACACCATTGGACGGATCTTCAATTGTTTTTATATATAAACAAAAGACCCCCTTGAAAGCATTTGAGGACCTTTGCACACGACTGCCCTAAAGGACAAGACTGCCTCGCCACCGGAAGACATCTGTGGAACATGTTTCCCTTCACTCATTGCAAACACAAATCTGCACAACTTTGCTATCAAGAAGTTACGCACTTACCGAATACACGTGTAGTCTACCTCAAGGTGGTAAAGAATGGTCTTTGGTTCCAAAAGTGTTTTTAAAGACATTGGCGCGCCCATCCTGGTGCCACCGTTGTAATTAATGTGCTAATTTTCTTAGATGCCACGGATGTCTGGTGGCATATCTGTTACAGGAGAACTGTATACATACTTAGCTGGAGAGGGTTTGATGGAGAGACATTCTAAGAATCATTTAACCCATTTGAGACCTGTTTTTTTGCACTTAGATGTAGTGAACACCTGTCATAGATACATAAATTCCAGTGCTGGAGTTTTACTTTATTTGTTCAGCACTTTGACAAAAGTCAAGGTCAAATATATCCATTGGCTTTGACCATGAGCTTGTTGGACAGCAAGGAGAAAATCTGATTCTAGTCCTACTCTACCTCTTAGTAGCCTTAAGATTTTAGTGAGATGTATCAAGGAGATAGTTTATTTTTCTGTAAGTCAGTGAGAAAATATTGCAAAAATGGTTTTCAGCATAACCTCCAAGGGCACGTCTGTAGCCTGGACCGCTCCTGACCTTCACACTCACGTCCACTTCCTACTCAGCACCTCCACTTGGCTGACAAATGGGCTTTTCCAACTTAACGTGTCCAAAATCCAATTCCTCCCCCTTCCCACCCCCAAAACCGGACTCATTCTCAAGTCTCCTCCTTCTTGATAAACTGCAAGTCTTTTCTCAGTTCCTGGCTTAGAGAGAAATCTAAGAGCCACTCCTGATGCCCCTTCCTTCTTCCAACATTCTAGACCCAGTCCACTACCGTGTGCTGTTGGCTCTGTCTTCAAAAAGCACCCAGAATCTGACCACCCCGTGGCATCTCCACTGCATCCAAACCATCATCTTTTTTTGCCTCCTCTTATTTCCATATTTCTGCCCTCGCACCTTTTACTCTATTAAGGATTAAAGCAGCCAGAGTGATCATGTCCCTCACCTGCTCTAAACCCTCCCATGGCTCCCGACTCATGATCTAGCCACGTGCCCACGTGTGTTCATTTTCAGCTAACGGACGTCAGCGCCACGACGGCGGTGACTTTTGTTCCTTTCACTCCTGTAGTTCCCGCCTCCAGACGGTGTCTGAGCGCACAGTAGGAGCTCTGGATGTGCTTGAATATCTGAACAAAGTGAAGGGAAGAATGAGGAACTCTGGCTACACTTTTATTTGCCCAGATGCTTACTGGGGAAATATTTCCGATGTGGTTTTTTTTTTTTTTTTTGGTAAACACATTGATATAAATATGAAAGGATGCACATCCACCGTGAATATTACAGAAGTATGGGGGCAGAAAAAGAACTCTATCTCCCTCCCAGTATCTAGAAGTCCACCTCTGTGTCCTCCGAAGGTGCCTTCTAGCCAGAAATGGCTTACCTCTGCAGACTTTTTTCTTTCTTTCTTTCTTTCTTTCTTTCTTTTTTTTTTTTTTTGGCAAAATTAGGATATTGCACACAAATTGTTGTGCAGCTTGCTTCCCCCCCCCCACTCCACATTTTCTCCTGGACTCCCTTTTGTGTAAGTACATTCAGAATGTTTTGGAACTCACGTGTAGTCTGGAATCATACAGGGGAATTGGTTAGAGAGAGGTAGTTGTAAATAAAAACACGATTTTAATCATTTTGATGAATATGACTCCATAGGCTCACTAAATTGAGGTTTCCAGGATTTCTGATGTCTAGCCCTGCTCAGACAGAACCGGAGCTGTTTGCTACCTCTGCTGTATCAGCAAATAAACCTTAAATCTCGTGGCGCCTCACAAAAGGCGTTATACTCTCACAAGAAAAAAATGTTTTTAACCCCAGCCCCGTGCAGAAGGCATGCGAATCTGCATTTTGTAAGTGAGACAATTAAAGCATGAAGTGTTTGGCCAGCTTCCCCCAGCTGGTGGTCAGACCCTCCAACCCCCTCTCTCACTCCTCCCTGTGCCCGTAGAGATTGATGTTTGAGGGGCTGATGTTACCTTAGATGATAATTTAGTCATTTTCTTTTGTGGCTTCTCTCTCACTCTCTTTTCTAAAACGTTTTCAGTGTGTTCTGCCCATAGCAGAAATTTTACGCATTCTTTACGAGTTCTTTAAGAAGCATCTTGTTTTGGTTCAGTGTCTCTCTCGGAAAACCTTCGCTGTCATTGAGCAGATCACAGAGAGGGGCCTGGAGTCCCGGGCTGCGTATCAAAGGTGACGAAGTCTCAGGAGTTTGTTGAGATTCATAAGCCGCTTAAG